GAGCAACTCTATTTTGTACTTTAAACTTATTTGTCTGTTTGTATGTTAAGCACCTAGAGATTTGGAATGAACTACTCAACAAATCAGAATACTTAACAATGGGTAAATAACAGAACAAAGACACTGAATTCAACACCATGTGAAAATGTTTGCAAGCAAGATGGACTGAGCTCCATTAATAAAGCAAAAACTGGCTCATTATGGTGCAGATGCTGCCAGGAACAAACTGCATTCATATATCACCTTTAAAATTGTAAAACCCACCGACTCTAAATCGGGTCTGGCAGCATCTATGGAGAGAAATCATTCTGAGGAAGGGCCACTCGACCCAAAACTTTAACTCTGATTTCTCTCCACAGATGCCGCCAGTCCTGCTGAGCTTTTCCAGTAATTTTTGCTTGTTTCTGATTTACAGCATCTGCTGTTTTTCCTGTCTTTATGCAACACTAATCCACTGAAGGAAATATTTGGGCAGGTGGCCCAGAGACTCATCATAAGGCTGGCTTCAGAAGAGAGTGAATTAAAGAGAAGAGGAAGGCTTGGGGAGGGAATTCCAGAATGAAGCGTCTGCCACTGGCCACCAACAGCAGAACTATCAAAACAGGGGATACAAAAGATCAGAAACGCAGGAGAGCACAGATCTGAGGATTGCGAGGGGACAGTTACAGAGATGAAGGCAGTGGAAGAATTTGCAAGCAAGGGGGAAAATAAATCAAGATCTGGAGAAAATGGGAATAATTTCTTTGAAGAGAACAAGACTCCAGGAAAGCCATTTACTTTAGCAGGCATGGCAACATGCTGCTGACCAGGTCGTGGACATCCTAAATACTACTGCAGCCTTGTAAGGTACGTATCATAGAGCCCAGAGAAAGGCCACAAACTTCAATTCTCCCATTTCCATGAACATACATGTTCCTAGTTAATTCCACTCAAACGATTCTCAGAGTTAAGGTTTAACAATCAATTGGATAACAGAAGGACAGCCCTCTCCAAACCCACAGCATTTAAACAGGATCACCAAACACAAGATGTATGGGGAGAAATAGGGCCTTGTTGAGGACTGGATAACAGCAATGCAGCTGACACAGGGGTTCAGTCAAACAACCTTGCCCACTCACTACACAACCCTCAAATCACGGTGCTATTACTGGAGGAGGGTGTGTCATCAGGAGTAGTCATCAGCTCCTCAGGCCACCTCTGGGAGGAGATTGTGGCAGATCAGACTGTGCCCACAACTCTACTTTCCCCATCTCCCTTTGACTTCCTTGTCTGATAGGAATCTATCCAGCTCAGCTTAAACAATATTCAACAACCAAGCCTCCACTGCTTTCTCAGGAAGACAGTGTTCCACAGGCTCAGTACACTGAGAAAATAAATTCTCCTACTTTCTGGTCTGACTTGGGAAACTACTTATTTTTGAAATACTATCCCCTAGTTACCGTGTCCCCTGACAAAAGGAGATGCTTTTTTCAAAAAAAAAGCATTCAATCTGTCAAGTTCCACCCCCTGGGATCTTAGAGATTTCAACATGATAAGCTTGTATTCTTTCACATTTGAAGGGATACAGGCCCAGCTTGGAATTAGTACAATATGGATTTATCAGAGTGTAACCCTTGGACTTCATGTATCAGAGCAGAATTATACAGTCAAGGGTTGGAGCCCTGGAATTTAGATGGGCACGATATGATTTTTATTGATTCACAGGAGGAATGAAACTGGCCAGGCATATTTAATTGCCCATCCTGAAATTGCCCAGAGGGCAGTTAAGAGTTAACCACATTGCTGCGAGTTTGGAGTCACATGCAATCCAGAACAAGTAAGGATGGCAGTTTCCTTCCCTAAAGGACATTAGTGAACCAGTTTTATCACCCCCACCTCCAAACCATCAGCAATGTCTTCAATGATCATCAGTAGAGTCCTAAGTTTTATTGGGTTCAAATTCCACCATCTGCCAAGGTGGGATTTGAACCCAAGTCCCCAGAACATTACTTGGATCTCTGGGTTAGCACCTGTTATCTCTGATAACACCACTAGACCATCACCTGCCCAAGCAAAGTTTAAGATATTAAAAAGGGAAACTGCCAAGTTAGATTGGAAGAAACCAATTCCAGTGGTTCAACAGCCTAGAACATAAAGGGTACAAGTCTACAAATTAAATTCAAACCTTTCAGAATGAAGCCAAGAAGCACTTTGCTAGACACCATCTCAGAAAGATGAATGGAAAGTCCACCCCAAGATTGAAGGTGGGTTCAAAAGCAGAAGGTATTTCTGCGCAACGGTGAGTTGAATTTTCTTGTGCAATTACCTTCTTCTCAGCTCATTACATACGCATGTCAGCAAAACGACAAATGTTTACGGGCAGGTGGACATTAAGTTCAAAAAGTTCTCCTTAAGGCTGTCCCAGAGAGAAAGGAAGTTCTTTACTCTGGATTGCAGCAGAGACCATCCCAACTGATTAAGGAAACTTGGAAGGAGGTAGCTGTGGAGGCAGTGCCTATGGGCAGCTCAAGAGAACCTGGCTCCAGTGCCAGAAGACTAAATAACTGCTGCCTTCTACTGCAGTACGTACCACTCGACATCCCTCTGAGTGAGAGTTAGCATTGTAAAGTTGCCTCTGCAGAGGACAGCAAAACAGGGGGTTCGCAACCAGGCAACTCCATTGGATGCCTCATGGGCCATCAATGTCTGTCACTTAACGCCAGCTACCAAGGCAGCATTGCATACCGTAGTACTACTGGCTCCCACACAACTGCCCAGGTTCATATGCAAAACAGTAAAGGAGTTAGAACACTCAGCAGCTCATACGCCATCAGCTCACTGACCTTCCATCGCAACTTGATAACGTGCACATCTGATAGTTTTCAGCAATGGCTTGTAATGGAACAAGGGTACAAGCACAAAAGCTGGCCCCAGGGAGTCAAGCCTCATTTGTCTGCCCCAATCAGGTTTGCTGGCATCAGGCAATCTGGCTGCCATGTGTGGGCAGGCTTGATGGATGGCCCAGTGTTCATCCCTAACACTGACTTGTTAACACTCACAGACTGCACAAGGCCAAGGCTTCTCATGAGCTGCTGAACATGGAGATGCTTCACCCTTCACAAGTGTTTAACTACAAAAAGGTGGCAGACTTATCACGAGCCGAGTGACCAGGTCAGGCTTCACCCTTTAAATGTTTGCGCAAAGCAACAGCTTGTTTAGAAAGGAACCAAGTTGGTGAAGTTTATACATACTGTCCAGAGTACGGAGGGCACAGTCTACTCTGGCAGGCACAGGCCTTATGTGCATTTCTGTGAATATACAAGAATATTTGCAAATACATGGACTTGCCATTTTGGATAATGGGATTGCGCCTATTAACGCAATTCCAGTGGACTGGGCTATTAACAAACCTGACATGCTAATGAATGCAGAAATGGTGCTCAATGAGGATTAGGAAACCTTACCCATCTGAAAGTTCCTGAGAACTTGATTGCAAAACCTTAACCTATCAGGAAACTGAATTTTTGCCTCCAATTAAATCCCCCTGCCCAGCGTTCTGAAAGCTCCAGAGTGTCCTCAAAGACTCTCAAATTTCAATTAATGCTAGCCCAATTGTTGATATTTTGGTATATAAATATTTGGGGCAAAGATAAGACTCAGAGGACTAAATGGCATTTCCTGTTTTCTCTGTCAGAGGCAATGGAGAGAGCAGCTGGACAAGAACCCCAGCCCAAAAGGAGCAAGAGCAATGAGTCAAAGGAATAACGTTTATACAGCATGCAAGAGATGACAAAACAGACACCTTGTAAATTAACTCCCCTGCATACTGGAAAACTAAACTTCTGCTACTAGAGTCCTTCCCCAGAAAAACAGTTCAGTCAATAAGAAACTCCTTCCCCATCCCCCACAAAAAAGTAGGCCACGACCAAATTAAGTATTTAAAAACTGCATTTTTGGGTACTGTAACATCATCTGTGCTTTACAAGCTCCCCGGTCCATGAGAAGAAACTTTGATGAGGTCAGTAATAAACAAGGTGCCACAGGTGAGCATTGTCTGGTGTTAATATTGCCTCATCCTCAAAGATGCTGAGTGGGGCTTTGAATAAATTCGGGGGGTGGGGGGGGGGGGGGGGGGAGGTGGGTGTCTGTACAGAGACAAGATTAGATCTAAGTATTAAGCCACATAAGATCAATATTTAAAAATTGAAACAGCTATATTCCCACAATGAAGAGGGTCAAAAAGAAAATTCAGCAGCAACGTTTCCCTGCATTTTGAAATCATTACATTTTCATATTTTAAATTTCTCTATTGGGGATTCTACTGTCAGTTCCATTTTTACCTTTGAACCCCAAGCTGCCTTCACTATAGAGTTGGCAATAAATATCCTTCCCCACCCTCCAGTAAAAATATTGAGGTTAAAGGCTTAGTGCCAATAAAATGCCAAAGGCTGGTTAGTTTCATTTTCATTCATTTGAATTTCATACAAGGAAGCCCCAAAAAAAAAACTTCAAGAAGTTGACACCCCTTGACTGAAAAGATATATATTGAGAAAGTCCCTAACTTTAGAGCCAAACCAAGACAAGCCCAGCACAATTTCAGTCAGTGACAGTTTGATCACCTAAGAAAATTGTCAACGTGTTTTGATGATAAATCGGGAGGTTGGAGAAACTTTTTCATCGTCCTGAAATAAATGCAAAAATTAAGGCAGCCAAGAGTTGCAGTAAACAGCCATCTGAGCTGTTTCTCTATCACAATAGATTCAGTTACACAGCAAAAGAGCGAAACCTGTTTTCACACCCCCACTTCCCCCCAATGCCATCCCACACACGCGTACACAAAAGTAGGGTTAATTTTTCAATGCTGCATTTTTGTAAAACGACATGTTAGTAAGAGCCAAGTTAATTTCCCTGAATGATGATTAATGCAGAGTGTCCTGATATCTGCAGGAACTGAGCAAAACACACAAGTATAAACGCACGTTTATTTCAAAATGAATGCATAAATTATAAATTACACTTACCGGCAGACGCCCTGTGCTAGTCCTTATTGTTCTAACTTCAGGTCCTTGAGGGGTTGCATACAAGCAATCACTGTGATCAGAATACACTGCTCCTGCAATTTGGGTGAAATAACTGGCAGGGATGGTGGGAACCTGGGGGCTACACAGCCCCGTATTCCCATTTTCCACATTGATAAGCTTTTTCTGGGAACCAGTCACTGCCCCAATAATTCCCCTGCCTGGGGCTGGGGAAACTCCCTTTGGCATTTTTTGCAAGGCTGCAATCTTTCCCCCACTCTCCCCCTTTTGTTTGCAACGAGAGAGAGAGAGAGGGGCAAAACAAAATGGTTAACTTCAAACCGGGATTTGAACACAAAATAAAAGACAGAGTCAACAAATGCAGGCATATAAATGATTAGCAAAGTCCCGAGATTAAACTGCACAGGGTCTCGCAGCTAATGTTGCTTTGGATGCAGCAGGATGCAATGGATTGTAAAAAGTCCCCTCTGATTCAGAGGGGAAAAATGGCTGCAGAAACTGTACTAGCTCCTGAATGCAGCCTGATTCACAGACTCTGAAACTCAGCCTCTGGCGCCAAAGCCTGTGCCGCGAAATTCATATTTCCCGCCATCTGTTGCAAATACCCGCCGCTGATTGGTGGGTAACTGACCAGGATACACGCAGCGGTGGCCAATCACAGCGCTCGAACTGGTTTCTTAAAGCGACAGGCGTTGCATAGACTTTTTAAAAAGCCTGACTCCAGCTGAGGCTTGCACAGCATCCTGACTGCTCTCATACTTCGCAGTCAGAAGGTTCTGTGTGAGTTTAAAGACACAATAATGATGGTTTCATGAAAACAATTTATATTTTTTTTCCTTGCATTATGTTCCCTTTATTAAGCTGCATTCCCACCTACATTATGTAGCATGATGTTGCACTCTTTCTCCACCTGGTCATGCAGAAGACCTTTGTTACACCTGCCTTTATTGGATTACAGCATTGAGTATAGGAGTTGGGAAGTCATGTTGCAGTTGTAAAGGACATTGTTACGCCACTTTTGGAATACTGCATTCAAATTCTGGTCTCCCTGCTATAAGAAAGATGTTGTTAAACTTGAAAGGGCGAAGGTAAGAGTTATAAGGATGTTGCCAGGCTTGGAAGGTTTCAGCTATAGGGAGAGGTTGAATAGGCAGGGCTATTTTCCCTGGAGGGCCGGAGGCTGAGGGAATGATCTTATAGAGGTTTATAAAATCATGAGGGGCATGGATAGGGTGAATGGCCACAGACTTTTTTTTCCCAGGGTAGGGGAGTCCAAAACTAGAGGACGTAGGTTTAAGGTGAGAAGGGAAAGATTTAAAACGGACCCAAGGGGCAACTTATTCATGTGGAGGGTGATGCATGAATGACTGTGGGAGGAATGAGCTGTGAGAGGAAGTGATGGAGGCTGATACAATTACAACATTTGAAAGGCATCTGGATGGGTATGTGAATAGGAAAGGTTTAGAGGGATATGAGCATAATGCTAGCATGTGGGACTAGATTAATTTAGGATATCTGTTTGGCATGGACAAGTTGGACTGAAAGCTGTTTCTGTGCTGTATGATTGGAGGACTCCATGACTCACTCCCAAAATGCTGTTTGCTGTTTAAGTGACACAACAGTGAGTGGCTGCTGGTTATCTAACCACACAAGACTGAGAGTTAAAAACTCCTCCGGAGACTTGAGCGTGTAATCCAGACCAATATTCCCAATGGGGAACTGTGGGAGTCCTGCACTGTTTGGGGTGCTTCCTTTTGAATGCAATGTTCAATTGATGCAGCCTGTTTCCTGTCAAGGACTGTACATCATTGTTTTAAGGAGGAACAGGGGAGATCATCCCAGGGTCCTGATCAGTACTCCATCCTCAACAAACATCATTATAATGTAGAATATCTGGTTATGACCACATTGTGGGATCTTGTTATGCACAGGTTGGCTACTGCATTCTTATTTATTCGTCCATGTGATGTGGGCACCACTGCCTAGGCCAACATTCATTGTCCATTGTTAATTGTCCTGCAAAAGTTAGTGGCGAGCTACCTTCTCAAACTGCTGTAATTCTATTTTTCAAACATTTGGCCATTAGATGTTACATGGTGTCCTGAGGTTGGGAAAGGCGCCATACGAATGCAAGGTCTTTTTTTTTCAAAAAAAATGCAAGCTGCTATTGCTAATCTTGCATCCTTGTCACACACAAACCCTTTCAGCATGCAGTGTCAACACACAAAAGCACTTTCAATGACAGGGTGTTTGGATAATGAGCAGCGACAGGGAGCTGGCTG